GACTATTAAAAATTAAAAAATTATCACTCGATTCATATGTTCCAATCTCATCCTTTTTGGTTAAAAAAATGATTATCTTATGAGTTGGACGTTAACATGCTAATTGAGATATGATAGTCGTTTGAGGTTTTGGGATCAACTTTCATCATATCTCAGTCAATATGTTAACGACTAGCTTATATGATCGTCAGTTTTTTAATGAAAAATGACAAGTTTGGAACATATGAATAGTTGAGTGACCATTTTGTAACTTTTAATAGTTGAGGAACTCAACAAAGCATCACCATGTAGTTAAAGGACCATTTTGTAACTTTTAATAGTCGAAGAACTCAATAAAATAATATCCTATAGTGAGAGGACCATTTGTGTACTTTACCCTATTTACTTTTACGTGATATTGCTCGCTTGCCAAGCTCAAATTATTGAGCAATGAAAACTAAAAGCACAACAGTTAGGTGGTGTTTATTTTTGAAGAGATAAAAGGTCTGCAGTCTGCGGACCATATCTGCAGACATCAGCAGAAGAGGTGGACCAAAAGTCTGCAGTCTGCAAGAAGAATAATGTTTGTTTTTTAACGTCTGCAGACTGCTAAAATAAACTGAAATATAAAATAAACTGAAATATAAAATAAACTGATTTTTTAAACTTAAAAGAGTTTTGCAATATAATTTTAGTTTTACAATATTGGAATTTAAATAATTCATGCAACTACAATAATAATTTTTTTAGAAAAACAAACATCACCTTTTTAATTCTATTATAAATCTCACATAATCACATGCATTATTAGTTTTATAAGTTTTATAGAATAAAATTTATAAATGATCATTAAATTATATGATTTTTTTAAATATGCAATTATGTAATACTTTTAATTTTTTAAATATATATTCATAATTTATTTTTATAATTATATGATATTTTTAGAAAATACTTTTTATAAATTATATGATTTCATATTTTGTAAATCTTAATTTTTATTTTTATACAAACACCACCTAAGCAATGTGGTTTAAATACTTAAATTTGTATAAAAAAAATAAATATAATTTAAAAATAAAAAATCCAAAAAAAATATTATTTTTAAACTTAAATCAAAATAATTAAAATAAATATAAATTTTAATAATATATAAAATAATTTATATGATATAAAATAAATTTAAAAAATTAATATTAAATTAATATCTATATATAATATTAAAAATTAATATTTAATTTATTTAAAAAATTAATATTAAAATTAAAATCAAATATAATATAAAATTAAATATAAATCTTTGTGAAGAGGTTAGAAGACGTCTGCAGACATAAGTTCTGGTCTGCACCGCACAGACCACGCGCAGACGTTAGAAGAGCTTTTGTCTTCTAAAAATCAAATGGTCTGTGAAGCTCAATGTCTGACGTGGCCTGCACGGCGCAGACATAAGAACTTTGCAGACCTTACACAGTAAAAACAAACATCACCTTAGTTAATCTGTGCATGAACGGGTGTTGATGTGATGCCATATAGATAGTAGTCTTGACTCACTTAAATGAGATAACTACCGTCTTTATCCCTTCAATTACTAATAATTCAATTGAAATATTTTTAAATAAAAATATTTCAATTTTAACCCCAAAAAGTTATACATTTTTACTTCCCCCTGAATAATGTTAGATAGCTATCATATATATATATATATATATATATATATATTTCATATTTTACATTTAAAACTTTTTAACCCTGCAAATAGATTAAAATATCACCTATATCATTTGTTTATTTTTAATTATTTTAAATTCAACTCACTGTTATGTGTCAGTTGTTTTAACTTGCGACATTTAAATATCCTAATGTCAGTTGTTTTAATATAAGGTATGGATTTGAAGTTTTGAGGGGTCGAATTAGATTTATATATGTAATTAATATATTCATTATGTTTGTTTAAATTTTATTTAGTCTAAAATATGGATTTTAAATTTTGTTTAAGATCATTTATATTTGTAAATATCTAACCTAAATCCTATATCCATATTATTCTTATTTCTAAAAATATTTATTTTATTTTTAATTTAATATTTAATAATTTTATTTTTTACTCTTTTATACACGATAATCTATTATATTATTAAATTTTATCCAAAGAAGTATTTCTATTATAATATTATATATCATAAACTTATAAACTGAATTCAATTCATATTTTAAATATTTTATTTTATTTTGTTGAAATCCAATTTTTAAGATTAAATCTTTGTTCAAACTCTTCAAAATTTCATATGGATATTCGAACTTGAGTGAATAGTTCGATTACTGTACATATCTAGTTAGCGGAGGATCACAACTATCCTAAGGTGATTAATGCCCATCCTTAAATCTATTTTTTTCGTTAGTTATTTATTTTAAAATTTTATGTGCGTACACATGTTCAAAAAATTTATATTATTAACATATGTGTATCTATTCTCAAAATATTTCTCCATCTGCCATCATATCTAATATGAAGATATAACAATTTTTTGATCCCATTTGTATGTGATAATAACCTCACTATCAGTGACAAATGCAAGTACGGGTGATGGTGAACACTTTGAGTTTTTTAGTTAATTATTGATTTTGTTGACCTTGAAAATGTATTTATTTTTATTCTCAAATAAAAAGTTTATGTAATTAATATATGTATATCTATCTTTAAAAGTATTTTTGAATCCGCTGTTAATGTAGGTAGAAGAATTGAATTATTTTCCTAAATACAAACCCATATATAGAGATTTTCTTTCATCTGTTTTGGACAAAGGCCTAGTTACCTTGTCCAAAAATACACAGCACGACTGGGCTTAGACAAGGCATTGTGAAAAATATAGAATTTAATTTGTTAAGCAAACCCACCAAATTTAATTTGCTATCTTCGTGTTCGTGCTGTGTTAATTTTTGAACAAATAACATTTAATTCTTCAAAAGAGAAATTAATTTGCAGCGATTGGGTTGGAAGTTGCAACTTCAAGTAGTTTTACAACGTAAAAAGGCCCCTCGGATAGTAATTCCTAAAATGTTAATTTTTTTTTCCATTTTTAATACAGATATGTTAATCAATAATAAATTATGATATACAAAGAATCATATGTATGATTAATATAAAAAAATTTCTATTCATCTCATTCCAAGCAATTCGTAACAAAATGAAAAGAAAAGCCTCACCTTTGAGTTTAGCAATCACCCATGAAATTTCTTGTGCTCAAGTGTAAATGACATAATTTTAGGATTTCGTTGAGTAATCACATCCAAAAAACAGATACAATAACTTCCCTCGACCTCAATTTCCCATCTCAACTATTTGTCCTTTGTAGGTAATCTCTCCAGCAGTGTAAACCAAGCAATTATAGCATTTTTAGGGATCCAAAGAGGAAACCAAATAAGCTTCGTCCACCCAACCTTCTCGCATCTTGTCTTGACTACTTGTCATGCTCTCTTGATTTGATACTTCTCTGATTGCATCTAAATCCCCCTGGATTGTTTTAGGGCGGGATTTAGATGTATTTTTAGTTCTGTTCTGAAGCATCCAAAGTGGAGGAGCAACAAGTTTGGTATTTCCAGTTTCAATGAAGCATTTGAAGGAAGCGGTTTATGTTATGCTTGTCCTTTGCATTTTTTGTTGTTCTGCTTTCAATATGTCTGTTCTCTTGCCTTAGCTGTAGTAACAAGATTTTCCAGCACTTGTGTTCAGGTTTTAGAAACGAGTGGCTTTTGTTTTAGTGATCTGCTGATGTGTGTATTTTGGATTCTGTCCATTGGCGTTGGGGAGTGATTGTATTTTGGATGATGTCCATTGGCGTTGTGTCTTGCGTGCTGGGTTGAAGATTGATGAAGGCATGGTGTTACGTAGTGCTTTAGCAGGTTTGGTGAACCTGGTTTCTGCTGCTGTTCGGATACTCCCTATTGCTGCTGTGTTTGCTTTAGATCAGTTTTTGCTATCCATCTTGTTGTATTTTCTTACTGCTGCATGGATTGTATTGGTGTTAGGTTGAGTTGGGTTGTGGTTTGGGGTATGAATTGTTTGTTGCTAGTGCTATATTTGTATATGATCCTCTTCACCTCTTGGTTCACTCTTTTTCATCCTTTTAAGATTAGGGAAGTTTTTTAATGAGACCTTGAGGTGGTGTACTTTGCATTTATTTATAATACAAAGTACCATCTTTAAAAAAAAAAAACCCTGGATTGATCCACAAATTGAATAGCAATGCTTCGCAACTTAAGCAGTTTCTTTCAAAACACACTTTAGGAGCACGAACCTCCATAAATTATCTCCCTTTCAGCACACAAGTAACACACTATTGCACCTGAAAAATATCGTTTCTGATCACTTAAACGTATTTTTATTTTAATATTTCATATTTAACTATTAATTAACTAGGAGAACTACGTCATTTTTTACGTCTTAAAAAATTTAAAACAATAATGAAATAAAATTTTAAGGATCTTTTTTAAAAATTAAACAAAAATTAAGGTATAATTTAAAAATCAAACTTTTTTTTGAGTTAATCTTAAACTAAAAGCCATCCCTACCGAATGAGATAAAAGTTTTTTTTTTTCATGCCCATAAATATCGAAAACAACTGTTATTTTTGTTATGGAATCACCACGCCTACTGTCCCATTCAAAGTTTCAACAATAAAATGATCTTTGATCGAATTATTACATAAAATATATAATACACTGACGATATTAATTTTTTGTATTATTGATAAATCAAATAATTATACATTAAAAATATAAAATTGAATTCATGGAAGTATAAGGATAAATTTCAATAATCCTTACTGTATTTTAGAATAAAATGCATTCGATCCGATGTCAAAACATGAGCAACCAAAGCCTATCCAAACCTAGGACAACCAAACCACCAACAAACACTAAATCCAAAGTACAACCAAAGAAAAAAATTACATGCAAGAATAATAGCTTGATCAATAAACAATTTCCATAATTTAAAAAAAACATAAATTATTTAATAAGAACACCAGAAAAAGAAAATATCAACTTGTGGGCGTATTAGGTCATCATCACTCAAAGCTGAAGCTATAACATCATCTGCAACATGGGTGAAATTACTGAATCACCTCATTAAAATAATATTATTTATTTTTAATTTTTAAAATACTACCATCTAATTTAGTATATAAATGCATACACTATTTGTCACCTAGACGTTTAGTTTTAAGCATTAACACAGGGAACATATAATTATTACATAAATTTTAAAATAATTTATCATAATATACCTGAATGAAGATAAACTTATACACTGACTTGAGCTTCATGATTCTTGGCACCAACAACATATATATAGATTAGATTAGGGCTTTCATGCATTACCCCCTCCCTTTTATTATCCTTGCGTTCAAGCTCCGAGTGGATCTTCCTTTTCATCATCCTCTTCTTCATCTAAATAATCAATACAATTCGTTCAATCAATTAAATTCTGCATTGTATTAATATATGAAATTAAACATAATTCCAGGGATTATTATAAATGAAAAGGAGCAGAAGTTTATAATACTCAACTACTCACTTTGTTTAGCATTTTGATGGGACTTGAATCCTTTCCTACACGTGGAACGAATTTTTTGGCAAAAGAAGTCTCCTCTTTACAAAAAGAAGCCTTTTCGCAAGGATTTAACTCTACGCCAAGAGTGGTGGCCTTGTTTTTCATGTCAGATTCTTCGTAAAGAGGTCTGCTAGGGTAGTTCTTTTTCTCAGCTTCCCAGAATGGTCCTCAAAACTATGGCCGAACAACAGTGGGTTCACTTCTTCCTCACTGTTGCTATCTTCATCTTCGTCTTTACTTGGTCGTCGTCGTCGTTTTCGGAGGCTAAGTGGCCTTTTTGGTGGCCCAAGGATTTCAAAGTGTCAAAACCAAAGGTCCTGATTGTTAGAACGCCATATCGCCAACCATCCAGCAGTTCAAACAGAGCTACTTGATCGAGTAAGACTTTTGAATTTGTGTCGATAGCAATGGAATCAGTCTTCTTAACATTTCGAGCCAGTCCATCTGCACAAAATGGAAGTATACTCATATATGTGCATGAGATTGGAGTAAGCAAAATATGTTAATTAGAAAATCAAACCTTTGAGGAGGTTATGAGTCTTGTGCACCCAGTTGAAGATCTATCAATCCAAAAGAATTCATTAGAACAGATATCCAAGTCTAAGTAAGAAATTATGCGTAGGTATGTTTGGTTACCTTCATTTTTCTCAGCTCAGGCAAAGTGACGAGGGGGAGTGGAATATTGTTTGTGATGGGGGAGGAGGTGAAGGAGTTATAGTGGGCTAAAAAGCAAGGGACCGATAAGTGAAGGCGTTAGGAGGCGATACGTGGCAAAAGATATAGGGCCTTACAAATACCCTTAGGCATGTTTCGAGGGTGAATGGCATGCGTCATTCGTCATAATGCATGTTACTATGCTGCATCTTTCTGTCATAGTCTATGTCGGCGAAATTCTACAATATCATTGGGAAATAAATCTAATTTTTACTTTTTTTTTAATAATTAGAAGAGAATATAAAGTAATATATGTTCAAAATATTTTTTTGTTATTGATATTATACATATACTATACAAATAAAATTACTTAAATCTAAAACTAATAAATAGTATTATTTCCTTTAATTATTGAAATCACTTTGAATTCAATTTTCACTTTTTTTTATTTAATAATAATGAATATTTATGCTAAAATAAAGTACTAGTACGTTCTTTTTTCTGTGTAACTTTGTAAACTCATTGCCATAATCACTCACATTTACAACCTATATTTATATATAGAGTTAGGCCCATATCGATATTCCCTGTTTGAATAGTAATGGGAATTGAGCACATTTACGAGAATGAAAATCTTTTCAGAGGACATTAAAGATGAAATAGATTAATCATTATTATTGGTGATATATATACTACTTTCAAATAAAAAATGTTAATTACAACATTTGTAAGACCATCCTTGTTGAATACTCCAAAATTACTCCAAAATGGAGTTATGACAGTTAAGTTTAATAATAAATGCTAAAACTATATTTAAAATTAATTTTAGGAATTTGAAGAATTTTCAATAAAAATGTGTTTAACGTTATATTTTTAAGTGTATTGATCGCAATCACCGTTAAATTTAACCGTTATAAGACACTTGTCAATTATATAAAAATTCAAAAAAAAAATTATTTTTTTGATAAGCTTAACATGTGTCACTTAACGGTCGAATTTAACGACATACACCTAAAAGTGTAACGTTAGACACATATTTTTAACGAAAAATTCTGTAATCACCTAAAATTAATTTTAGGTATACTTTAAACATTTATTTTTGTATTAAGCCTTACAATTATAGAAGGTTATTTGATTAAGAGAAAAAATGTTGCAAATAAGTGAAATGAAATGTGTGGAAGAAGAATTGTTATAAGAGGTATTGTTATAAAATATGTTATGGAGAGTGATATTATCAGAAGCTTTCGACAATCATCTTTTGATGCTTTGTGTTGTAAATATATCAAACTTGTTAGTATGGAAAATTATAAATCATATCACCAGGGGATACCACCAAAGCTGAGCCAACATGAACTAACATTGCGAAATCATTGAAGCTCCTCCTCAATGTAGGGGACAGTGGAGACCTCAATGCGAGAACCCCCAATATATACGAGTTTATCTCGGATTGTTTACTCACAAAAGAAAGAAAAGTATACTACTCTTGGATTTTGATGAACATCAGCTATGAATAACTGTGTTAATCATATGCTATAAATTATACAGAAAGATAAGGAAAATGAAAGTTGAAAAAAAACCACTGCATTTTAATATTCCATTATTTCAAAAACTATATGGCTATGGATAGTGATACTTTCATATGGATAGATATATACACATTTTCTTTGATGAAAGTCATTAGAAAAGGAGTTTCTTTTTGCTTTTGTCACATGGAAGTTAAAAGAGTTGTAAGATATGAGTACACAAACATTCCATACATAGTGGAACTGTGGTACTACCCATTTCTATGGATATGTTTACCTGCTTCCAATTTAACATTTCATTTATATACGAATTAAGCGACTTTAGTGATTAAATGATTTGTTTTTATTTTTTAAAATCTTGAGTTCAAACATGGTACATACAGAGGTGCAAGTCTTTAAACATATACTAATTTATATTCCTCAAATTTATATATAAAAAAATTAACATTTCATTCATAACTCAGCTTTCTTATTCCAAACCAACACCACAAAAGATATCACTTCGCTATTCACATGCATGGATTGCTAAAATCCTTCAATCATTGTTTAGATTTGTCCATAGGTAAATAATTTAAGTCATAATTGGATGCCAAAGAAATTACTTCCTTGTTATATTAAAGTTAGTTTTTTACCTTTAATTTATTATTTAAAATGTATTATTAAAAAAACTTTGAAAAATTATTTATTTTTAAATAAAATATTTTTCATAAATTTTAATTATTTAACAATTTTTAAAGTAATTATGATAAAAGAATTTAAAAATTAACCCAATAAATAAACCATGACATTTTAATTGGAACAAATTGAGTATTAATTATTTATAATTCATCTCAATTTAATTTTTCACAACCGAAAAAACTTTAATTTATCGTTTGGGACATATTGAACTTTAATTTATCAGAAATATATATATATATATATATATATATATATATATATATATATTTTATAATTGAATTTAAATATTTTTACTTTCTTCACCCCAATAAAATTATAACAATAATTCATTTAACCAATAAGAGTTGACCCACTTATTGCACTATCAGCATATAAAAAAATGCATCCAAATCATCAAATACTTTTAGCTTAAACTTTTGAATTAGCAATGACAAATGGTTAAAGAATGCTCTTTTCACGCTTAAATTAGTCCATCTAAACATTATTATTGATGCTTCAAATGTTGTTCCTTTACTCAATATAAATGGGGAAGACAAGTGTTCATGAGCAATGAAGAGTGCGAGAGATAAGCTTATTATTGATGCTTCGAAAACCTTTTAAATGTTGTTCCTTTACCAATAATGAAGTGTCGAAATTGAAGTAATAGATCCATATTGCTATGTAGTTTCGTATTGATGAATCATATTTCCACCTAATAGTTTTACTTCACTTGTCAATGTCATTTGTACAATACTTTTTTCTTTTCATCATCACCTGTTTGACCAGAGGCTTCAGCATTGGAAAATTATTTCAACAATGCCATACTGACCAGAAGAATTCACTTTATATAGATATCTGGCTGATAAGTTCATGTCTAGGAGGAGAGGGGAAAAAGAAGCCATTTTTCCTGGCTGTGAATACATGCACTCATTAATTATTGGAGATGAAATGTTACAATCGTGTCTGCTCTTTCTTTTATTTGCCTTTTTTTTCCTTCCAGATTAGTTTCGCTTTATTATTATAGGTCGCCATTACAGCTATGAGAGTTAATGAGAACCTCAGAGCTTCCACCATATCTGTTCTCTAACGCACATGCACTCATCAAAATAATCTTCCCATTGGCTCATCTTTTGCTTACAAAATCAACTAGGACCACAAAATTGATCTCCCTAACTCACTAATGGAACTGCCTGTTCAACTCATCAACCAGTCCTGAATAACAAATGCTACGGTTATTCAACAAACCACTAGTTTGCAGACATTTGAAAGTGTTGTCACCCAAATTGTTTCTGTATCTGTACTTTTTAGTCAGCTCTAATACGTTTTGTTTTCTCTGGAATTCACAATTCTTTAAAATTTTAGGGGGGAAAAAACTTATAAGATTCTTGTGGGCGAAAATAGATTATCAATAAAAAATATAAAAAAATATTTAAAATATATGATAATTTAAAATTTCTCAGAGAGACGACTGCCTCGACACCCCTTCAATCCATCCATGGCGCTAGGGGTGCAAATGAATCAAGCTTGAACAAACAAAGTTGTGTTCGTGTTCGGTTGTTTATTTTTTAAGGTGTTTATTCAATTCGTGTTCATTTATTTATTTTTGAAGGTTTATTTATTTATTGTTCGCGAACATATTCGTTTAATTTTCACAAACATGTTCATTTAGCGTTTGTTACATGTTCGCTTATATGTTCATTTAGCATTCGTTTAGTGTTTATTTAGCGTTCCTTATATGTTCATTTTTTATTTTTTAGCCTTTCATTTGCAAGCTAAAGAAAAATGGTAAAATTAAGCCACTAGTTCTTAAACTCCTTAAGATTCATAGTTCAATATCAAAATTTCACCATGTATTCAATTTAATCGCAATCTTCACCAATATTTAAAATGTAAAAAAAATAGAGAAAAAAGAGAACCGGGTAAATGAGATTATAAACGAGCTTGTTCATAAACATAAATAAATGAGTCGATAAACGAGTTCATAAACAAACTTATTCGTGAATATAAACGAACCAAACACACATTTGTTTGCGTTTGTTCTTTCATTAAATGAACATAAAAATTTATTCATACTCATTTACTTAGCTTAATAAATAAATATAAATGAATGCTATACGAACGGTTCACGAACAACAAACATAAACGAACGTTATAAAATCAGTTTACCGAACCTTATGCTCATTTTTACAGTACTCCTACTTGGAGCTATCGAAACCCAAATTTGAAGCAAAATATTTGGGCTGAGCCTTTGTTGAAGTATGAAATGCATTGCTTGAAATGCATCTCGTGCTGAGTCTGTTAAGCTGCTGTGCGTGAGTTTGCTAATCACTTACTGAGTTTGTTATGCTGCTGTGCGTGAGTCTGGTAGCCAGCTGTTAAAAGTTTGTTAAGTGTTTGCTTATGTGGCGTTGCGTATCAAGTTGGCAAAGGATGCTGTTAGTCAGCTTAGTATAAAATCCTCATTTGTTTTCCAACTTTGGTAGATGATGATTTACAATAAAAATGATTCTAAAGCTTTTCTTAATTCTTTTTTTTGTTTTACTTGAGAGCAAAACTTATCTTAACATGGTATCAGTCGCTGATCCTGGAGGGTTGCTCTTCGCTGTGTAATTCTCTTCTACTGGTTTGATCGAGTATTTGTATCTGTTCAGGCGTGTTGTTACTGACTTGTGTTGATTATGGTGGTAGTTATGGCTGATCCTCAAGTAGTCTCTCTAGTGGAGTCGCCTACAAATTCCTCAGTTTTTCCTTCTACTATTTCTTGTGTCCAGCATATTCCTAAACATGATGTAGTCAAACTAGCTGAAAATACATATTTACTTTGGAAGCATCAGGTAGCTCTTATACTTGATG